TTTCACGGATAGGGGATGGATTGGTTCAGCTTTAATCGCCATCCCTGAAGGACTCATAGCACTGCTGACTTTCACGGATAGGGGATGGATTGGTTCAGCTTTAATTGCCATCCCTGAAGGACTGATGAATATTTTTGTTACGACATGAGTCGACTAGGGACGGACGAGTGGCCCTGTAGGGCAAAGTAGGCTGCTACGACACCCGTGACGTATTCGTCTCTTCTTAACAACCCGCGATACCAAAAGAAAAGTCTAATAATAAGTGTTCGAATAAGCTATATTAAAACTCCAACGGAAAGTCGGGTCGCCACGCTGGTTTTTCCCTCCTACGCCTCTTAAAATTCACGTGAGTACTATAATCTTCTTGTAATTTAAATAAATAAGAACGTAAGACCGAAACCGAAGGTCCAAGTAATCTTTATAAATATTCTTGGAAAGAGTCCTGGATTGGCTGAATATATCCTGCTCAAGAAGACTCTTTACATCGTATTACATTTACAGCAAGCGCCTGAATTTCTCGCCAAGATGTACATGTCCAGACGTCGAAGGATGGCCAGCAGGTTTTATTTATTTATTTATTTACCCATTTATACATGAAATTCAACTAAAGAAAATTGCAGCCGAATTCAGTGCATCCTAATAGAAAATCTTATACTAATTGTTTTAAAACCAGTATACAATAAAAAGGAAGAAAAAAACGAAGAATAATAACAAAGTAATTTAAAAAAAATTAAAAGTTAAAAAAATGATTCATGTATAAATAAATAAAAAGAAAGTAAAAAAAAGCATGTACACAGCTAGCACAGAAACACACCCACAACAAGAACCGATCAAGCTCGCAAGTGGAAACATGCATAAGCTTGGCAACCAACACGTTAACAACACAATATTATTTTAAATAAAAAATTGAGATATTAAGAATGCAATGTTAGTTTAAGTACGTTAGTTTAGGTTTCTGCAAACAACTCTGAGAGCGTTAAACAGCTCATTGTATTTACGTTGGCTAAGCCTAATGAAGGTAAACTGCCTAGAGAAGCGGTTAGGGACATTTAAGCTTATATCACCAAGTAATGCGGGCGAGTCGATAGTACCATCTATTATTTCGATTAAGAAGGAATCCCCAAGAATAAATCTACGTTTCTCAAGTGACGGTAAGGATAATAGAACCAACCTACTTTCATAAAGGGAAAGATAGACAAGCGGGTCCCAACCCAGCAAGAATTGCTTTTGAACAGATTCAATTGAATCTACATAGCACCTCTATAAAGGAGACCACGCATACTCGAGTATAGGTCTAACCAAACACATGTACAGCCTTTTGGTAATGTAAGTACCATCAAGCTCTTCAGATCACCTCTTTATAAAACCAAGCGTGGACCTAGTTTTGCTTAACGAGACCTCATATGGAAATTAAAACGTAACGTACGGTCAAAGAGAACGCCTAAATCTGTGAACTAATCGACGTCCTTCAACTTGTGCGAATCAATGAAATAGTGAGTAATGAATGGCTTCCTTCTCGTGAAAGAAAGCTTCTTACATTTATTTAGATTGAGTTTCAGAAGATTCAAAGAGCACCATGCAACCAAATTATTCAAGTCACTTTGAAGCTGATATGATTGCGATTCTACGGAGAAAGAAGAAAACAGTTTAACATCATCAGATATATTAAGATCTGGCTGGAATTAAACACCAATGAGAGAGCATTAATATATAAACTAAATAAAATAGGACCTAAGTGGCTGCCTTGATCTACACCAGACGACATGGGGAATTCATCCGAGGTGATGAAGCTAAACAAAACCCTGAATGATCTATTGTGCAGATAAGAGTTTATCCATTTTACTAAATAGAAGATTTAGTTTGTTGTTGTTTTCTGTTCTCTATTAACAAGTTTGGACAGTATATTAAGTCCATTTTTGAATCCAATATTCGATAAAGCTTTTTTACGAAACTTTTGTGGTCATTGTAAAAATCCAAAATTCATTTCCCAGACGAAAGCAAGCAAGAATATCTCCTTAACTACTGAATATATTGGCTTGATGTCCTACATATTAAGTTGGCTGCAAGATAGAAGAGAAAAGTACTCCTTGTAATAAGCTCTCCCGATTTAAGTAGACAAGTGTTAATACCTTTTGAACATAATACTATATGAGATGTTTACATATAGATTAAGTTAGCGGTGGGCATTAAAAATTATGCCCAAGCTGAATGTAATTTCTTTTTTATATTGATGCAATTTGATATGAAAAAAATCGGGATGGTGATCCCGTCCGTCGCTTGCAACATGCTTGTGATAATATTCTAAAATATTTAACTAAAATTCATTGTAGTTATAATAGTATTAAACTGGCTACGGAGTTTTCTTTCGCGATGCTTGCTTCATAGTGTTTTCAATTAGTTGTATCACTGGTAAAAGTGCACTTCCATCATGCATGTACCTACGTTAATTAATTACAAATTACACATATGTAGATATATATGCATGAGTGTATATCTGTGTGCTGTGCATACTTTATGAAGAAATTATATATTAGAAGAGCAAATTGCTGGCATTCAATATTCTGCTAAGGTTTGGATACGCCCTTTTCAACATGTTTCTCCCTCTAGTATTTATGCTTTTGGGTATCGGTTTAACCGAAAATACTGTAACATAATGTTAAATTGATGTGTGTTCAACAGTGATGCAGATTCTCTCGCAGTATTGTGAATGCGATCTATGTGCCGATCGGGCGATATTTTATATATGCGTGAAATAAAATGTGTATATCTGCCCTGGGCAGAATATATGCATTTTTATCATCACTTGCTGTACAACTGATTTCTTGAAAGCTAGCTTGATTTTTATAAAGATTTATTGAAGAGAGTTTCGTGATTTCATTGTTCCTCTTTATTCGCTACTTGTAGTTATCGGTTCTAATTTCACACCATTACTAGAACTTTTATTGGTAGTTATAGTTGATGTACATGTGACGGAAGTTAAAATTTCAGATGGGGTATTCGATTTTGTAACAGTAATAGTCAAACTTGTATCACCTAACGATGGCGTCTTCGAGGTGGATGATGAATGCGGTGGATGAGTGATGTATCCACCAAGTTGGCTAAATCGTCATGAAATAGCCGGGATGGTGAGAAAGATTGCGTACTTTTATTATAACAAAAATCGATACCCAGGCCCGTAAGGGAGGAACGAACCGCTGTGTTTCCAAGCGTATTTTGACGTTGTCGTTCTAGCGACGGAGGTATCGAAGAGAAGCTGCTGCCATTGGTAAATAGCATGTTGTTGTTGCATATTTCATATTGCGGTTTCTTGTGACAATTGATCTGACCGCTTGGATCGCCGTAGTTTAGTGTACTTTCTTGAAAGGAAAAGACTGAAAAAAAAGTTTGTAAAATGATAAGCGATTTTTGTTTTTATTCGTGAAGTTTCGACTGATGTGTGTTTTTGACCAGCAGGACACACCTATCACATATGTATGCGAAATAATATTTATGATTCTTTTTGGAGACAACTGGTTTAGATACGCTTCCCCTACTTATATACTCACCGAATTGCGTCCACAGGAGAGGTGTGCAAAGGTTTTTTTCTGAAGATCCTAAGCGTCGCGAAAAACAACAGCTTTAATAACTCCTTTAATATGCTCATCTGGCTAAATGCCAAGTAAGATACGTTGAGGACGCCCTCCTCAATTGAAGGACCTCACATGTTATGAACCCGGTTCGCGTATAAAACGAAAGTTGGATACGGTATGTCAGATTTGCATGTTGTTTGAGATAACGATAGTACTTTTTTCAAAACGATAAAAAATTCTTCTGCCATCGTTTCGAGACGCCAGGTCTTTAATGGACCTGGACCGTGAAAACGCAAATGATACATTACATTTTGGTTTGTACTCCAGCATTTTTGCCACATTGACTGCAGTTGATACCGGTAGATAAGCAAAAAATCGAGGCATCAAGCTTTAAATTATTCTTATTAATTTAATAATGATGTTAAAATAGAAGGATAAAATACGCCGGCCATTACATACCTTACACTATTTCGCTTAGTAGAGTTATTCGCTCGTTTTGCTAATAATACTTCAAAAAGCACATGTTAGTTTCATGCAAAGCCATAATTCTCATGAAAGCCCGAATATTGGAAGGTGAGATTTTCTCTCCATATAAAAGTCTCCGTTTCGTCATAACGCCTATATGAGTCGGGGTGCAAAAAAGTAGACCTATGTGATCCAAATTCTCAAAGCCTTTACGTTTCATGAGAATCCAAAACATAGATCTACGTGGTCCAAACTCGATAAGGTAGATTTCTTTGTCAATTTAATATTATTAGCCAATTTTCGCCATAAAATATTTTAAATTCGACGTTTTTATCATATTAGACTTTAGTTTATGCAGGATCGGTTACACGGTTGAAAAAATTACCCCAGCCTGTTTAAAGTTTTCACAGCAATTTAAAATGCTGAAATACTTCTATTTAGTCACTTTTGCCAAGAAATTTTGAAAATTGCAATGTTTTCAGTATAATGACTTATCAGAATAAGGCGTTACATGGGAAGTGGTCGAAAAAGTCGGCCAATCCGAATCATTTTCAGTAGCATTCGTCCTTGGATCAAAGTATGTCAATGTAGCAGATTTCATCGAAATATCTTAAAAATTGCGATCTGCACCTTGAACACAAAAATATGAGGGCAGACATCAGATGAACAAGCTTAGAACGATTTAGAAAATAATTCTGACCCGATCGGTATAATAAGAGGTGCGTCTACCTTAAGCCCCTCTGAATGTTACATACGTCTGCGCTGACTTAATATGTCCGGTACCATAAGTAGCGTAGGGCAAAATTATAGACATAATCCTAGTATTATAACTATTTACATAGCTGGATGCTCTATACGTACACTTGCATCAGACGAAATTGCCGAATATGATTTTTTATTCGTACAATCACTTGCGAAGTAGTGCCAATCATGTTTGAATTGAAATAATATATACATGAATCGATCGTCCGCAAGCTAGTGAAAGGTATTAAGAGCTTTGGCCTAAGTCATATATAGTTTACTTTACCTTCATCTCTAATTTGCTTCTTAAAAAGTTCATAATTGGTTAAAAAGTTCATATCTGAACTTGCATTAGCTAAGCTATATAGGAGGTAGTTTCTTGACGGACGTAGTTGATTGAAGTCAACCTCATTAAGCAAAACCGGCGAGTCGATGATATCATTTAATTATTTAACCAAGGAGGTAATGCGTAAAACAAACCTAAACTTCTCGAGGTAAGTATATAGGAAGCAACGTTTTTTAGTACGGCGGAAGATTGACATGTGGTTACCAACTTTTGTATCACAAAGAGCCGGAATTTTTTCTGTACGGATTTAATTGAATTAACATCTTAACGATAAGAAGATGGCCATACGACCGTGGCGTAGCCCAGTATAGATCTCTCTAAGCTCGTATATAGTCGTTCCAGAATGTGTTCAATTGAAACGAACTTTATGGTCGAACAAAACACTAAAATCTGGGAAAGCATCTACATTTTTCTGCTTGCAAGAGTCTATAAAACTGTCCTTTATAAACGAATTTTTCTTAGAATTGAATGAGAACCATGTTACTAAGGGTCCGAGCTAAAGGATGAGAATATTCTAACGTCGTCAGCGTGCATCACGATATTAGACGACTTAAATAACTGATTACGGTAGATCTTTGATGTATAAGCAAACATATTGGAACCCTATGTGACTGCTTTCCTGTAGCTTTTGTGGTGATTGGAATGGAATTAAAGAGAAGCTCTTCAACGATCTGCCTTCAAGGTATGATGAAAACCAGTTAACTAAACAAAGCGGAAAACCTAGGTGATGCTATTTCGATATTAATAATTTGTGGTTCATTTCGTCGAAGTCCTTACTAAAATCGCTCTAATGTGTACTATTAGAGAAGGCAAACGAATTGAAGGAAATCCGTTGTGGCTGACCTTACTTTCAAGAATGCATGTTGGCTCTGCACGTACTTAGCTCTGCAACGCTTCTTTAGTTTTTAACGATGGTGCTACTACCACCTTTGTAAACCGAGAGAACAAAAGTTGCCTTACAACAAATTGGAAATCTGCCTGTTTTAAGGAAACAATTGAAAATGAAAGCTATGCTGCGACAAAGTTCAACTTATAATATTTGAGACTTCACGATGAGATCCTGTCCATATCTAGCAAATAGTCGTTGTTTAACGATTTACAACTTTGTAAAAATTAATCATCCGAAAAATAATAATTTTTTTAAACAAATAAACAATCATCGATTTAGTACGGGTAAGTGAGGAAAAAATTAAAGTTAGTGGAGCTAAAATTAAGTTGAAAGAGTTTAGCAAACCATCGGACGTTTTGCAGCCATCAAAAGATAAAACCGACGGGGATGAAGTAACTTTTCTTTGAGTTCTCAAACTAATCTCGCTACCCTCATAAGAATTATTTCTAGAATCTACATATATGTACATATGTAGTTATATACATATATAAAATATTATATTTGATAATAAAATGAAATTGAATGAATTGAATATATACGAGATTTGAACCCACGACCACTGAAGTTGCTAGTCGAGACTCTTGTCTGCTCGAGCATTCGGGCGGATGAACAAGTATTTAAAACTACAATAATTTAAGTAATTTTAGTGCAGTTAAGACCTAAGATTTGCTGACTCGTTTTTATTACTATTATTGTTTGATTTGTTCATTATTATTGTGCTCGTTTAGAAAAAATCTATCTAATTATTAAAAACTTTTCGTTGTAAATGTACATAATTTATATATATATATATATATATATGTATATATATTTAATTACATGTATGTATAAATAAATAATGTCCGCGGATAGGTGAATGGATGGATTGGTACCTATAAGCTTATCTGGATATTATTTTCCTAATGAGGGGTTGGTTGAATGGACGGATAAAGCCGATATCTTCATATATATAGTAAAACCTAATACTCACACTAAACACTCCGCAACATCAACACATATCTACTCGTGTATGTGTATCTATATTGACTAGGTATTAAAGAAGCTCAAACATACATTGAGGCAAACAAGTAACTGTAGCATTGTTCTCACCATATATCCACTATCGAAAAGTGCTCATCTAATAAATTTTTTTCCCTTTTTACCAAACAGAGCATCTACAACGTAAACACATCTTTATACATGGTTTTTACTATGCGAACTGGGAGCTGGAGCCTTCATGGAGATTCCCGCCTCGTACCAGAGAAATGCACGATTCATCGACGACGATGGCTATAGCTTAGTGCAAACTGGTAAACAAGAACTCCTTAGAAGTTTTACGCTATAGAACTGCCTGTAAACATTATCGCACAAAAGCTGTTAGAAATTCCGCGTTCCTAAAAATTTCATGTGCTTCGATTAGCAGTCCTTGCGTGCTCCCCTTTTTAAACTTTAAGTTCAGCTTACTCACGATTTTCCAGTGGGTAGAACTTCTTGGCCTTAGCACTTAGGGTGTTATCCCTGCATTTATGTCATTCGAATGTATAGTTAAGCATTATTTTTTTAGTTTCATGTAATTCGCACGTTTCGAATCTGAACCCGAATTCTATCCGAATTTATGCACATGTTTTGGAAAGCAATTGGAATTCAGTCAGCAATAAATGCAGGGAAAAAAAGTTCCTTACAGTTTCATTAGAAAGTCGACCAACATTGCATTCGCCGTCACAAGAAATTCATCGCTGAAGATTGTGCGGAAACTTTATATCTGTTCTATACATATTAGCCCTTCGCCCATTTTCAGAGCGCCACTAACGTAACCACCATAGGCTTTTTGTTCTGGCGTTAATATTATTATCGTCAAAAGTCAGCGCTTCAATATTTTAACAATATTAGTAGCCAATGATATACATCTGAACCAAAAAAAAATAATAAGAAAAAAATAAATACTCTCACACATACTTAAATGCATACACAAACACACATGCGAATAGTAATGATAATAATGAATATATTTCTTTTATAAGTAATAGCGTTGCCATATAATAACGTGAAAAGCAAACCTATTAAATATCAAACAAGCAATATTTCAGTGGAATGAAATATCGTAAATTTTATTAATTTGCTTTTATGTAGAGATGAAGTAAAAGACGCAATTTAATCCGTTTATGGGATATGGATACGACCGACGGGTGGAGACATTGATTGTAGACTGGCTCTGTCTACTTCTGCGATGGTGGTTGCGCTGGTTGCAATTGCATCTTGTGTGCTCCTCAAGCGGCATGCCACGCTAAATTCATCTAATCCTCATCTACCTCGTCCGTTTTTTCTAATAGAAGAATAATGACAGAGATTGAAGGGACCAAGCCACATGGGGCTTGTTATGTCTTACCAGAAATTTCTACCGTTTATAGCACGGTACTGTCATGGAAAGCTCGTTTCCATGTTTTTCCTGCATTGCAATTGTTGTAACTAGGTTTTTTAGTTCCCTATACGTATGTTTCAATAGATCGCCCTTTCCACAATTTCGAACGCAAAAGACGGGAATAAATTTAACTCCACCCAGTGAGAATGCTGTGTCCGTTACCATAGTATAGACTGGTGTTATTTTCTGCAGCTTTATCTGTAGATTTTCTCTCCCAGACATATCGGACCTATATAACGCCTGACTATTAGAAACTTTCATTATTTTTTCTTTCTCCACTATCTTCTCTTTTATTTCGGGTACCACGGGTTTCAGCGACCTTCGAAGCAGATTCTCAACTTCTGTCTGACAGCGGAGTCGAGATCTTTATCTGACTCTCGTGGCGGTGAGTGCGCGTTTTTCAATCCCCACAAAACTACAAGAGACGTTATCTGCCTACATTTACTGAAAGTTCCTGTTGTATACTACAGTTAGAAGATAGACACACAGACATGTATGACCTGATTGACTTAAACATTAATATTTTTTATTGGGATGAGTAAAGTTTTGTGAATTTTATGTAAAAATATATGTTATTATTTTTATTTATTTTCCTTAAAATAGTGGAGTGGCTTATATGGCCAAGGCATAAAGTCAAATAATGTAGTAATTAGCATTTTCACATGCTACGAGGAACTGTAAGCATAACTTATATATGATAAAATGTAATCTAAGTACAATAAAGTAAAATTTATTAAAAGTCAAAAGTCAAGACTTTTTAGATTTTGCAAGACCGAAATAATAAATTGTAGTTATTAAAAAAGGAGAAATAACCATGATAGAGTGAAAAATGGTATTTCTGAAAACTAGCTCATTTCAGATTTTTGTTTAAATATATTGAAGAAGAAGAATAACGAATTTCAGTTACTTTTGCCACACGTATTAATAATAAATTGCATAGAAAGTAAGAAGTGTCGCTGGTTGCAAATGACGGAAATGAAACCACAATTTTCCTATATGACCTCACGTGAGATTATAATTTCATTACGCTACTGTCCGCGCGATGAAAGAACAATTATAAATGTCGTGTGAAATGCAAATTAGCCCAAAACTTTTTAATATTACAACTATAATGCTTCAAATTTGTACAAATCTTAAATGAATACTTGTACATGTAAACACTATGATAGGAACCTATAACATATATCATATTCGGCAATATTCCCACAGTTTACATCGTATATGCAGCTGCATAGTTTTTATAAACGGATTTAAGATTTGTTTCAACTTTTCCTTTAACTACTAATAGATCTAAGTTTTTGTCAGTGGCCTAAAAAACGGGAAATTTTCGAACGGTGGAAAGTAAGCAAAAGATTGCGACCAACAAGTCAACGGTCGCGAGTTCAAATCTAGAGAGCAGTAAAGTTTTCAATACAAGCAGGATATATGATCTAAGTTTTACGATAGGGTTTGAATCCATACTTTGTAAACTTATATCCAACTTATATAGATAATAAATAAATAAATAATATATTTTCCCCACCACTGTGAGGTAAGGGGACACTCATTTTGGTTTTTTCCATAATGTATGTAAAACCCAAAAGGAAACTTCAGAGACCTTATAAAGTATATATAGTCTTGATCAGCGTGCAATTCTGGGTTGATTTAGCCATGTCTGTCCGTCTGTGTGTTCGGGTGGTGTGTGTTCCTGGCACTCTTCTGGTCATAAGAATGAAGATGTCGACTTCAAATTTGGTAGAAACATTGAAAGTTTCTGAACGCAGGTTGGTATTGAAAATGTGTTAAATTGATCAAACCAGAAGCGCGTAGTTGAGTGTAAATTAAACAGAACAGTATATAACAACAGTTTGTGGATTTTTGCTCGCGACTAAGAAATTGTCAAATTTAGAAGGCTCAAATTTTCTACGTTTACTCTACAAAGCAGTTTACTTTTTATATACAGAAAAGGAAACAATCGACCATGCCGGCACCAAGTTACAAGTAATTAAGTTTTATTTTTTTTCACTTTTTTGAGGTTTTATTTTTATTTATCGTGAGGCAAACAAGAATGTTTAAAACTATTTTGTACATTTTTCAAATAAAGATATATGATCGCCTAAATATGGGTTCATTCTAAAATAAATATGGTAGACGCCGCGGTTACTTTTTTCTTAAGAAGCGATATGGGTAAACAGTAAAAAAATTTGGAAACTAGATTGCGAAAAACATAGCGGTGTGTATGCGAGATTCGGCTGCCGCCGAATATAACTTTCTTACTTCTTTTTATTACATATAAAAAATATACTCTACCCAAAAAGATTTTGGCAAGGAATATACATGATTACTCCGTATGACAACATATTTGTAGAAAATGCGTTGAGTGAATACTTAAAAATAGTGAGGCGGAGCATTTTAAATTGATATTTTTAGAATACTCTAATATTAAAGTTACTGACTGTTCCTCACAATTGTATGCCGTAGATTCCGATAGATTGAAAGGCACGCACTCTTGTATAAAATGCAGAAACTGGAACCAATACTCTTTTGATTTTTAAGTCAAGTTACGATAGTGTAGGACAAGAACCGTGATTCAGCGTGAACGTAATATACGTAGATTTTTCAGTACTTATTTTAAAATTCTATTTGTTCAGTCAAATTTTGTTAAAGTAAAGTAGTAGTATGAAAGGTTCATGGGGTGATTAAATAAAAACATGATTGCTCTTCCATCTGCGATTAAAATATTAAGTGTCGCAAGATCTAAAGTGAAAATTGTGTAGAGTATTGCACTTAAACCCAGGAGCACTCAACTTCAGTTTTATATATATTGAATTTATCATTTTCAACTTTAATATAAAAATGTCTATCTTGTAAACAGGATTTAAGTAGAACAGATAGAAGAAATTTTTAAAGTTTAAAAAGTAGACCAACAAACCAGACTTTTTAGGAGGCCTTTTCCACATATAGATATACAGTGACGCAGTTATTTCCATTTTCAATGGCTTCTCTGGTGTATAAAACGACACGGTGACGGTTTTCAACAGTACAATGTTTGTTTCTTTTTATTCCTAAATAAGTCTTTCTTGTAGAACTGAGAACAGTCATTGCAGATATATTATTTTAAATATGTTAGAAAATGCTATCAGTAAACTAATTGATCCATACAAGCTTGCAACATTTTCTGGTTTATATGGTTTAGCTACATTATTTCTGCGCATTTCCATTGGTTTGTAAAGTTTTAAATCCTTAAAAGTAATCTTATGAAGGTAAAAGCCTTAGTTGGTAAACCATTTATGCAATCATTACTAGGACATTTTTGCAATATCTATTTTAATAACTTCTCCCTTTGTTTCAGCAACCGATATATGCATTATAGCCCAAACCATCTCAACATTTTTTCTGTGGTTGAAGTCTTACAAAAGTCATTAGGCTGAGAGGCTTCTTCTAGATAAATTCGTCAATTTGAGAAAAGCTTCGCACACTCTTTTTAAGGTATAAATTGTCGTTCAATCAATCTCTAAGTCCCAATATCCCTTTTACAGTTAACGACATTATGTTTAACTGAGAGGTTATGAAGTGTCGTGTTAAAGGTGACAATTAATGGAGCATGGCCAAAATTGAGGCCATCGTTGTCATAAATTAGTTAGTACGATGTACAGTTATTAAATTACATTCATTGGTTTACAAGTGAGAACGATTTGTGAACAAACTCTGATATAAAGAATGTCGATAAAATGTTTATGAAGCAAAATTTCTAATTCGTTGTTGAGATTTAAAAGGTCATTGATATTGTATATAGCGATTCGGAAATTTGAGACACTAAGAGCGTCATCGTATGAATAAGTAGTTTTAGTCACCTTAACCTGCTTATCAATCAAACCTCAGTTTTTTAAAAATAATTAGGGTTTTCCAAATATATCTACGTATTGGTAATTACAAACCTTATTATTAGCATTTGTTGTATTAGTATTGTTTTGAATTAAGTGTTATTTATTAACCAAATAGAAGTCTTCTTGATTGCGAGGAAAATTACTACTAAGCTTATCATGCGTTGATCTGCGTCTGAAGTTTCTTTTTAAGAAGCCGATAGTGTATAAGATTAACTTTATAACGTTTTGGGCAGTTTACACATTTTGAGAGGGTGTCGTCATTTTTGGTGAAGGATTCAGTTATGCGATCCAAGCCACATTTCAGGCATTTGACTTGTTTTGCACTATAAGTCTGCACGGGTCGGTGCCAAGAATTTGGGTGATGTCTCTGGTTTTTAAAGAACCTTTAACATTAACAAGAGCATGATTGAAGTATTCTAATTTGTAAATTTCATTATTACCTGCACTAGGTCCCAGACCTATATG